GTCTATCAACTAGGATATAAAATAGGTCTACAGAAAATTAGACCACAAAAAGTACAGATCCGAAGAGATCGCTACCAGACTCTTAATGATCTTCAAAAATTACTAGGAGAGATTTCTCAACTGCAAACCATATTTGGAGTTGAAGGGCATGATTTGAAAAACTTGAAAATGGCCCTAAAAGGAGATAAGGACTTGAATAGTCCACGAATACTATCAGCTGAAGCTGAGAAGGAATTAGAATGGGTAGAAAAGAGGATACTAGAAGCACATGTGGACCGTGTGGATCCAAACATAGACTGTATTCTGGTTATATTACCATCTAGAGAATATCCTTCAGGGATTTTGATGCAGAGAGAAGATATCATATTAGAATGGATATTCCTACCACATAAACAGAATAAAAAACTAAAAACATATATATAAAAGATCTCTGACTTGATTATAAAAGGTAAATTAAGACTTCGTCAGCTAATAGGAAGGGACCCAGCAGAAATTATAGTACCTTTAACTAATGAGGAAATTTCTTCCTTATGGAAAGATAACGAATATTGGCAGAGAGCTTGCAGTAAATTTTTGGAAACAATTATCAACAACTATCCCAAAACTGAGAGAATCAAATTCACAAAGAAAATGATTTGGATTCTTCCACGCATTGTAAGAAAAACACCTATTTCTGGAGTTCATACATTCTACACTGATGCACACAAATCAGGTAAGGCAGGATATAAATCAGAAAAAATTAGCAAAGTGATTCAAAGCCCTTACAATTCTGTACAAAAGGCAGAATTGTATGCCATTCTCATCGTACTTATGGATTTTAAAGAACCCCTCAATATAGTTACTGACTCTCAATACGCAGAGAGAGTCGTTTTACACATTGAGACTGCAGAATTTATTCCTGACAATACAGAATTAACTTCATTGTTTATACAGTTACAAGATACTATCAGAAAGAGGACTCATCCTATATATGTAACACACATCAGATCCCATACAGGTCTGCCAGGTCCTCTAGCACAAGGCAATGATGAAATTGATCGTTTATTGATAGGAAGTGTGCTAGAAGCCTCAGAGTTTCATAAGAAACACCACGTGAACAGCAAAGGTTTAAAAAAAGGATTTTTCTATCACTTGGGAACAAGCCAAGGAAATAGTAAGGAAATGTCCTACTTGCTCATTCTATAACCAAACTCCTTTACCACCAGGCAGTAACCCTAAAGGTATAAATAGGAATGAAATATGGCAAATGGATGTGTTTCATTTTGCAGAATTTGGAAAATTAAAATATGTACATCACACTATAGATACATTTTCAGGGTTTCAATGGGCTACTGCTCTGAGCTCTGAAAAGGCTGATTCTGTTATAACACACCTTTTAGTGGTAATGGCCATTATGGGCATACCTGCACAAATAAAAACTGACAATGCTCCAGCATATGTCTCCAGCAAATTGAAACAGTTTTTTGAGTATTACAAGATAAAGCACATAACTGGTATACCACACAATCCTACAGGACAAGCAGTGGTTGAGAGATCCAATCGTACTTTAAAAGAAATGCTCCATAAACAGACAGGAGGAACCAAAACACCCAAACACAGATTACATAATGCTTTATTAACATTAAACTTTCTTAATGCTGATGAAAAAGGAAAAACAGCTGCAGAAAGACACTGGACAATAGAAAAAACTTCTGAACTAAATCAGCCAGTGTACTTCAAGGATGTACTGACCACAGAATGGAAAGCAGGATATGTGTTACATTGGGGTAGGGGTTTTGCATTTGTATCTACAGGAGAAGAAAAACTATGGATACCATCTAAGTTAATCAAGATTCGAGTTGAACAAGAGAAACTTCTTAATGAAGAGAAATGACAAGTCATCCAACAAATTAGGTCCTATGAGGTGTGCGGAGGCCTCTCAAAGGTAGGGGAAGTGTTCTGTTCTTGTTTTTACAGGAAAACAGAGAAAACCTATCATCAAACAGCCAAAAGACACTGAACATGTAGGTGCCTACAGAAGAGAAGACAGCTCTTCAGAAACAATCACTTAAGGAAGCAGAATCTGATATATGGTAAAAAAATATATTTAATTGTAGTAAACTATTTCTACATAGAAATCTATTTCTCTCTACTATCTAGTATTCCTGAAGTCCCAATTTTTGTAAACCAATGTTGGCTTTGGAGTTGGATTTGGCTTTTCTTCTCTAAATTCAAGCATGTTGTTAAGATTAAATTCATGGTTTCTGCCTTAAATCAAGAAGCCAATTGGTGTAAGGCAGAAGAAAACAAAATCTGGGGACTCATATCTTATATGCAATTTTCTCTCTGAAATCCTAATTTTCTCACATACTTTTAATGCTTATTGTTGTCTTTCCCTAATGCATACCTTAAAACTTAAAAATTTTACTTTAATATTGATGTGTAACTTTTCCACAAGGAAAAATAACAACTCCTAACAGCAGTCTTTGAACTCTCCGGAAAGAAGATGGGGCCCCACATCATCGTTTCCACTTGACACAACCTGATGCATCTGAACTACAAACATCACCCTAAAACCAGTTTGAGACTGTTTTGCTCGAGAAAACTCATGACTAGCTAGCTGTAATGGTGCACCTTTTTATTACACCCTGGCCAGAGTTTCAAATAGAACTACAGTCAAGCATTTCCTGCCACACAGTGAGTAGCTACATATGTCACAGCCAGTTCTGTTGAGAAATTTGGTTGCTAAAAATTTTCTTCCTACAGGATCCATTGGAGCAATCATCGTCCCATTTCAGCAGGAAGTAATCTTAATATGACGATGCCCCCCTTTCCCTACCCTTGGAATTTTGGGATAATAGTCATCGTCTTTGGGTTGGTTTTAGTTATTTGGGATTGGGTGATGCTTACACTCGGGTTTATCTTTTAGACAGGAATAGGGAGTGGTTGGGAAAGGTATGGTTTAGATGGGATATAGGTAGATTAGCCTATTTTCTTGAGAATTTGAGTAAGAATGAGATAGTATTTTACAGCTTACATTGTTGTGTATTCTTATGTGGTAAGCTATGTAAAATTAAGTTTATATTTTGTTATATTGTGTTAAATATTTCCACTTACAATGTTTTATGCACATTATTTTTTACCATATTCTATGTATGTATACTTTTCTTGTATTCAAGACATTTTGTATATTGATACAATTTGGGATATTTATCTTGCTGCCCTTTATAGTTCTACCTCTTGTCTTGACACTTATACTCTACCTCTATTTTAGGGATTTACATGTATGTATACATAATAGTTATATTGTTTAAGTATTTGTTCCTGCTTTACTCAGGGAAGTTTTAATCAGTCTTTTTAGCTAAGTTCCCGAGTATTACAGATTATCTTCACTCACATTTCCTGTACCTATGAGATTAGTCAGATATAGATGCTTAATCTTCAATCACTTCATAGACATGCAAAACATGGCATTTAAATGTTTTAATATTAGTACTCCATTGACATGAGACACTGTTGCTCCTGACAGCACCGTGCACTTTCCCGAAAATATGTTGGACACTGTTGTTGCTCCTGCTGGAGTTCAATCTCGCCTTAGCTAATGGCCTGTTGGGCAAAGAATTGCCCCCACCGTGACCACTGATTTGGACATGCAGTCCTATGTGCTTGCAGGAGACAAATATAGAAGACTGCTTGACCTTGCCAAGTCAGGGTAAGACAGCCATTCTACCTCCCTGCTGTTGTTGTGGTCTGTCAAGTTCTCTTGGCCTTAGCCAAATCTGGGTGTACCAACGTGGCTGTGAGACCTAAGGTGACTGTTCAGATGGCTTGCTGTTTCTGTCCTTGCTGCACCTTTTGGAAGTTGTCCATCCGCATTTCCTGTCTACTCTAGTATTGTTAATTTCCTTCTCAGGTCTTGATGAGGTTGAAGATTAAACTATCACAACTATTATTCTCTCTTCCTAGTTAGATATATTAGGTACTAGACTTACGTTTTCCAGCTTAGGACAACTCTATTGTAAACTCCATTATGCCCTCACCCTAGGACTAGATATGTAGGTCATTTTGTTCTCGATTTTCCTTTTCTTAGAGCACACTTGTTATTCACTGTTTTGTATATAGTTTTGTATTAAGCCTAAATCTTTTCTTTAGACTAAAAGGGGAATTGTAGGGAGATAGTTCTGTGGCACTGACCACGCCCATTGGGGATGGAGCCATGGGTGGAATGACCTGTGGAAGGAGGTCAGAGGGGGCCAGGAAAGGCGCTCTCTTTCTGGCATGACTCGGACAGGAGAGGATCGGGTTGAATTTCCTGGTGTTCATCTGTCTAGATTGTAAGTTATTTCTCCCTGAATAAACATCTATTCGGCCTATTTGTTTATCCTGATCCTTATTTACTATGATAGAGAAGAGATAAAAAGAGAGAGCCAGCTACAAAGAAAGTGAGAGGAAGAGCTGCCCCTTTGTCTGATTCCTGTTCTAGTCAGTAAAGCCAACAATGGATGAGATGCTGGCCACAAACACTGATGAGAACAAATCTTTATAAATCTACTGCTGTGAGTATAAGATATTCTAGAAACATTTTTAGACATGAGTATACACGTCTCATTATCTACCTGAGTAAATGTGAATACAGAGAAATTAACAAATAATATCAATCTCCAGATAAGCCATGTGCCATTTAAATCTGAAAAATAACCCACATCCCTTAGTGCCTTTCATTATAGGTTTCCCACATGCATATTTACTGTTCAAATGCTTATTTCTTCACTTAAGTGCTTTTGTATTAAAATGTTACTTCAAGAAACCTGGAAAATGTAGTGCACTAATCAATATCCTGGCAGAATGTTTGTGTAAACATCCCCTGAGATGCTTTAGAAATTCTCATTTGGTATGTATTTGCAGAAACAACTTGACCTATTTTATTTGTTTGCTTTTGTAAAACAATGATTCTTGCATAAAAGGTGGGTTTTAAATATAATTCAATAACTAGATAATATTGGAAAAGAATATATCCAGCATCATGAATCTCTGAAATGATAAATCAGAGTCAAAAAGATAATTTTGCATCCAGAACAAATTTTTTTGAATGCACTCTTCACCTCTTTGTTCCGCAGGCTGTAGACCAGAGGATTCAGCATGGGGATGATCATTGTATAGAACACAGAGGCAATTTTGTCAGTGTCCATAGAATGACTGGAACTGGGCTGTACATACATAAAAATACTAGTTACATAGAAAATGGAGACTGCAGTGAAGTGGGAGGCACAGGTGGACACAGCCTTGTGATGTCCTGTGGCTGAATGCATCTTCAGGATGGTGACAAAAATGAATGTGTAGGATATACAAATAACTATGAAGGCAAAGAATATGTGGAAGCTCACTATATAGACAAGAATCAGCTCGCTGACATGTCTGTCAGAACAAGAGAGAACCATGACTGCTGGGATGTCACAGAAAAAGTGATGGACCACATTAGATTCACAGAAAGAGAGCCCGAATGTGTCTCCAATGTGGATGGAGGCATTCAGGAAACCAATGACATAAGAGCCAATGATCAGCCATGTGCATACACTTGTAGTCATGATGGTAGCATAGTGTAAGGGCTTGCAAACTGCTGCATAGCGATCATAGGCCATTGATGCCAAAAGGTAATTTTCCACAGTAATAAAGGCTGCAAAAAAGAACATCTGAGAAGCACAGTCATTATAGGAAATGACCTTGTCTCCTATAAGAAAACCACCCATGACTTTTGGAGTGACTGCTGAAGAGTAACAAAAGTCCACCAGAGACAAGTTACCTAGAAAAAAGTACATGGGAGTATGGAGCCGTGAGTCCGTCAAAATCAACAGGATCATTCCAAGGTTCCCCACAAGGGTGACTGTGTAGATGAGGAGGAAGGTGATGAAGAGGGGAAGCTGTAGGCTTGGATTATCAGTGAGTCCCAGCAGGAGGAAGTGTGTCCCTTCAGTCCTGTTCATCATGTTATACAATCTCTGCAGCAATGAAAAAAACGGGGTGGGGGGGTAATGTGATAATGAAACACAATGGTAATCAGAAGGTATTAAGGAATATGTACTCTGCCTATAAATTTTACCTCAAGATTTTTCAAAAGAATATGCAAACTTGAAAACCAAAGTGAATGTACCAATTACATTTCATGATATCAAATGTGAATCATACATACAATTTAAAATGTTTAATGGTTTGTAAATAGACATATGGACAACTTAATATTTAATGAAAATGATTAGTATGAATGAATGTATTTGACAGTTCATTTCTTCTAATTACAGTATAAGCTGGTATTTCCCTGTGCTTACCTGTAAAGTTGCTGTGGATGCTTTGATTGTTCTCTCATAATAACCTCCTAATAATGTTTTTGTTACAATTTCTATAAATTAATAAGCACAAAAAAGTGCTTATTCATACTGATTCATACTCATTCATACTGATATGATCTTTTTTTATAATCTGTCTCAGTAACCTTGTAAAACTTTAACACAGGCTGAATAATTCCTAAATAGATCTAAAATAGGTTTAAGTTAAATTAAATTTAAACTTTAATTGCAAATAACTGAATCTTAAATAGTTTCACATGTTGTTCAAAATACCTTTAACAGTCAGTGAAGGTAAAATCAAGCAAATAGAATCCTGAAATATGAAGCAATCCTTCTTTAAATAATAAAATGGCAAGAAATTAATTTATTACCCTTATTTGACTTGTATTCTTTTTTTTGAACTGCATATTCATGCATTTCTACAATTATAAACAGTGGTAAAGATGAGTTTAACAACAAAATCATATCACATCTCAAAGAACAATCCAATTTTGGGAAAACTGGAAAATTATGAGAGCAAGTTCAAGCAGCAGAGGCAACTCTAAGTGAGGTGTAACCCCAGTTATGTTTAGCACAGAACTCATATTCCTTTAGCAGCTGTCTGTAATTTACCTTCTAACATCATACTTCCTATGAAAAATGAGAATTATAAATAAGACCTACCTACTTTCCTGAAGGTGAGGGTGTAAAGATTTCTCTAGACCCTCTACTATCCCCACTATGTGCAGACGGTAAAAGGGCTGAGAAAGAAATCAGAGAAACATCACCCTTTACAATAGCCACAAACAACATAAAGTGTCTTGGGGTAAAACTTAGCAAACAAGTGAAAGACCTATATAACAAGAACTTTGTGTTTTTAAAGAAAAAAATAAAAAAGATGCCAGAAAATAAAAAGATTCCCCATGCTCTTAGATAGGTAGGATAAACAGTAAAAATGGCAATCTTGTCAAAAGCAATCCACAGATTCAATGCAATCCTCATCAAAATCCCTGAACAACTCTTCACTGACCTTGAAATATTAATAAGCAACTTTATATGAAAAAAAGGACCTAGGATTGCCAAAACAATTCTGTACAATAAAGGAACTTCAGGAGGCATCACCATTCCCAACTTTAAGCTCTACTATAGAGCTATAGTCCTGAAAACAGCCTGGGTTTGGCAGAAAAATAGACAAGTAGACCAAAGGAATCAAATAGAAAATCCTGATATTAACCTACACACCTATGAATACTTGATTTTTGACAAAACAGCTAAAAGTATACAATGGGAGGAGGAAAGCATATTCAACAAATAGTGCTGGCACAACTTGATGATAGGGCATAGAAAACTACAAATAGACCTGTGTCTATTGCCAAACAGTAAACTCAAGTCCAAATGGATAAAAGAACTCAACATAAATCCAGCCACACTGAAACTCTTAGAAGAGAAAGTGAGAGGTACCCTTGAAAAATCGGGTACAGGAGACTGCTTCCTGAACATAACTCCAGTAGCACAGACACTGAGTTCGACAATTAGTAAATGTGACCTCCTCAAACTGAGAAGCTTCTGTAAGGCAAAGAACACAATTGACAAGACCAAATGTCAGGCCTCAGACTGGGAAAAGATCTTCACCAATCCTCCATCTGAAAGTCAACTTTCAAATGTATCCTACAGGTCACATAGTCTTTCACATTGTTATTATGATGGGACAACGGGTTGGTACTGATAATGCAGAGCTTCATTGTCATGAGCGAAGTGTTGACATTTCCCTGCCCAATTTACCTTTTCTTGAACATTGGTGTCAGTTTCAGTCTATACACTTGTGTAATATACATAACTGCTTCCTCTGTAATTAGATCTGAGACAATTTTGAAAAAAATTCTTCCATGAATTTTCATTTTCATTTTGGCAAAAGATAGAATCACACTTAATACTCGTTTTTTCCCTTTGGCATTCATATCACAGTCTAATATAGAGACTGAGGGTTGAGGAAGTTGTACATTATTGGCTGTATTTAGTTATTTTTTACATTTTTTATTTATTTAAAAGTTTGTTTCATTTTATAGACCAACCACAGTTCTCTCTCCACTCCACTTCTCCCATCCTCCATCTTCCCTCCACCAAACCCACACCTACTCCTCAGTAAGGGAAAGACCTCCATGGTGACTCAACAGAGTCTGGCATATCAAGCTGAAGAAGGACCAAGCCCCTCCCCCTGTATCAAGACTAAGCAAGTTGTCTCTCCATAGAGAATGGGTTCCTCAAAGTCAGTTCATTCACTAAGGATAAATCATGGCTGATGGGAGATGTCATTCTGTATATGTTTCTCATACTGGTTAATAATAAAGCACTGTTGGCCAATAGGAAAGGAAGATAGGAGGGACTAGGAGACAAGGAGGAAATAGGAAGTAGTAAGGAGGAGTCAAGATGGAGAGTCTGGAGAAAGCAGTATGCCGGCCGGCTCCCCGGTAAGAGAAATACATAGATCAGCAGTAAGGCAGAGCTAGCCGATAAGAAACAAGTAACCGTGCCAACAGCATTGTATCAAATACAGAGTCTCAGTGTATTATTTGGGGCTGGCGGCATGGCGGCGGGACAAGACCGGGAGGCAGCAGGCGGAAAAACCCATACACGTTACACATGGCCCCACTGCTAGTGAACCCACAGACTGTCTAAACCACAGGACCCACAGACTGCCCAAGCCACAAAACTGTCACCTACATTCAGAGGGCCTAGTATGGTCCTATGGCTCCTCAGCTATCAGTCCAGAATCAGTGAGCTCCCACTAGGTTGGACCAACTGTTTCTGTGGGTTTTCCCCATGTTGATCTTGACCCCTTTGTTCATATAATCCTTTCTTCCTCTCTTTAGCTGGACTCTGGGAGTATTACTCTGTGTGGGGGAAAGACTTCTTTAAATTTGAGAGCAAATGGATAAAACAAGAAAAAAAAACATCCTGAATGAGGTAACTCAGACTCAGAAAGACAAACACAGTATGTACTCAATCCTAAGTGGATAGTAGACATAAAGAAAAGGATATTCAGGCTACAATCCATAATCCCTGAGAAGCTATGTAACAAGGAGGACCCTAAGATATACATGCATGGATGCCCCTAGGAAGGGGAAATAAGTTAAGATCTCCTGAGTAAATTGGGGTGTTCAGGGAGGAGTGAGAGTTGAAGGGGATAGGGGAGGATAACATAAGGAAATGGGATGGTTAAGTTGGGGTAGTGACAGCAAAGGAGAACAAGGGATGAGAAATGTTAATAGAGGGAACCATTATGGGTTTAGGGAAAACCTGGAGCTAGGGAAATACCCTGGAATCCACAAGGATGACCCCAGCTAAGACTCCTAGCAATAGTGAAGAGGTTGCCTGAACTGGTATTTCATACTTATACCAGTTGTGTTGGCACATCCCATCTTCTAAATTATTGATTTGAACATTTATTATGTAGTAACCATATTCAATGTTTTCTTATTACAGTTACAGCTTTTGGATGGGATATATTTTATAACTACTTTGTCTTCTTTATTATAAACCTGTGAAAATTTTAAATAATCAATCTGGCCCTTAAAGATATTACATTGTGCCTCTTACATATTGGATATTGTGGGAGTGAAATGTGTAGCATAATTATTCTCCTTTTATCAGTAATAGAAGTGAGGATTTGAGGAACTTTGTGAAGTTTTGTAATTATAGTGGTAGTATAAAAATAGACAAGGTGATTAATTAATCTGGGTTTTGAGTGTGTGTGTGTGTGTGTGTGTGTGTGTGTGTTTCAAACATACAGTGAATTGTAATCATATAGTGCAGAAGATAATTATTTCCTCATCAAACAAAATATAATTTCATCACTTTATTAAAAGACCCATGACTTGTAAAATAATTGAATTACTAATAAATCTTTTGAAACCCTCTCTTTCTATCTTCAAACAACACATAGTAGAGAGAGCTTCCACACATTTGTCACATAAATTTTACTTCTCACTTCAATATTTACAGACCATGTAAGTGGTATGCCACCTGGCTAGAAGTCAGAAAGTGATTTTGAAGTCATAATTTCAGCTATATTTCATTTATTGAATACTACCATACAATTACTCTCAGAAGTGGTCACAATATTCTAACTTCTGTAATAGATAAAAGAATAGAAAGACAGGTCAAATTTTAATATTTCTTGTATACTTTCTGTATCTTTAAATGTGTCACTTACCTTTAAATGTGTAAAAGACACTTTTTTCTTGCAATTCATAAACTATGTCTGCCAATAACAAATAAAAGAAGGCTAAAAACATCACATGAAGAGGTTGTTTCTGAAAAAATACATATTTTTTTTTCTCCTTGATCTCATCTCCCACCACGGTGGTAACTTAGCAGCAAATTATCAGGTCAAAACAAGTCTATTTTAGACTCACAATGATTACCATTAAGGCAAGTAAAGGATGTCCAATGCAGTATAGCATACAGTGCACTCCTTATAAAATATATGATGCTGAATCACATTGGGTAATATGTGGAAAGCTAAAATAATTACAGTGAGTTAAAAATCTCTAGAGATTTCCCTCCAGAGGATAGGTAAACCATTCATCCACCCATCCTATACAAGAGGCAATTAACTTGCCTGTGGGGATCAAAAAGACTATTATTTTCTTAAAAAATAAAACATA